GTAATATGTTCACCGCTGCACCACCATCGACAAAGACTCTATTCACCATTTGTCCTTGAATCTCGATATTCAGTAGTAATGGCTTCAGATGGAATCTCATCTCCTCAGATGGAGGATCAATAAAAGCAGCATCTCTATGGGGTACTTCGCATGATGCTTGTGTTACCCATGCCACCTTTGGCCTTATGTCTTTGGAATAGAAGTCATCTTCTTGCTCGATATTACTTTGCTCTTGGTATTCTTTATACTCGCTAACATACTCTGCGGGTAGTATCGATATTACTCCGATTTGATGTTCATCCCAGCTACCCTCATTTTTATCATCGAAAAAGTCTCTTGCATATTGGCTCCCCATTGATACATTACTCTGTAATTATTCCAGTAGGGGATCCTTCCTCCTCTTCTCCAGGGCCTTCCTCGAAATCTCCTTTGGAATGTTGGGAATCCAGTGTCGATCCTTCGTCATATGAAAGTCTCTCGAAGACATCATGACTTTGAAGTCTGCCTCTTCCTCTTCGAGAAGGATACAGTTCTTTCCTAATCCACTTATTCCTACTAGTATCAGAATCGACAGATCTTTGTTGACTTTCCCCTATCGCTGCTTGGGTTGATTGATCTATTTTGTCATTGTCCCTTTTATTTTGATTCTCGATTTTCTTCATCTGTCCTGCTCTGAAAGCTTTAGCAGCCGACCTGTCGAATACTGCACTGCATCGTGGACATAATGCCACATCTTCATCCTTTTCTTTCTTTCTGTTTAAAAACTCGACGAGGGAGTCTCCTGATCGAGGATAGATTTCTCTCTCGAATTCTTTCTCGAACTCACTCAGGTCGAATTCCATGTCTTCTTCAGATACGTCCATTCTGACATGCTTGGGATCGATGTCTTCAGTAACATCAACCATGCCTACAAAGGTCGAATTTGTCAATCGGACATCTTCAGTCATGCCCGTCTGGGATTCGATATACCCTACTTGCACCTCGAATGGACTTGTGTCCACTTTCATTGACATCTCTTCGAATTTCAGCCTTCCTTGGTCGATCGCATCTTGGATCGTGTTCCTGAAATGTATACAATTATTAATCCAATGTCCATACATATTATGGAATTTGCAGTATTTTCGACCATTCCTTTGTTCTGCAGATGACAATTTATGATCATCACTCAATTTAATCTGCTTATCTTTCAATAAAATATCGAAAATTTTATCGGCTTTTGTTACATCGAAAGTATACGTTCGATTCGCCATTTTGTCTCTTACCTCATTTTTCTGTAGCAATTTACAAATATATGGAGCTCCTACTTTGAGCTCTGCTATATTTACTTTCTCATCGACAGTTTCTTCAATATCAATTTCTGTCTTGGGATCTGTCTCATACACATCATTTATATATGCTACTCTTTCTTTCTTCATGGGTTTCTCAAATTTCTTATACCTTTGTTTTTCATATTCGATTTGTTCCACTCTTCTCACTTTATCAGCTAGCTGAGCCATGTCATTCAATGGTAAATTAACCAACTTTTTCCTAATCGAGAATTCTAAACCTGCGGAGGCCATTCTGACTAATTCATATTCAGGAATTTGAGTAAAGCACCTTGACTTCATTTGTCTAAATCTATTCAAATAATCGTTTATACTTTCATGATTGTATCTCTTTATATTCATTAAGTCGATGAGACTTACTTGAGTCTCCCCTCTAAAGAACTGCTCATGAAAATTTCTTTCCAATTGCAATCAATTATATATCGAATTGGGTGGCAACGAAGTAAACCAAGTGAAAGCATTCTTAGTTAATGAACTAGGGAAATATTTCATTTTCAATTCTTCACTCATAGCTAGGTCCCCACATTCGATCTGATATCGAGCTACATGTTCGATAGTGGACTCACCAATTTCTCCAGCAAATTTGGTGAATTTAGGTACTTTGTATCCTCGAGGTAATTCTGTCTCGAGAATTGTATTTGGAAAAGGAGAAATAAAGTATGGTTGATTTGGTGGCCTTAATTCTACTCCTTGAGGGTTCATCCTTTGTCCTAGCATGTGGTTGTACTGCATGTTATTTTGATTATACATGTTCTGAAATCCCTCATTCAGATTTCCATAAACATCATTCCTCACATGCTGATATTCGTTCCCCAGATTCTGATGTTGGTCATTGTGTCGATTTCTCCTTAATAAATAAGGAGGATTAATATTAGCGTTCCGGTTAATGCTCTGAGCGGCATGATTTTCCATTCTCGTTTGTCGAGGTATGGCCAATGCATCCCCGATACGGGCCATTTGTTTTGTTAATATCTCAAAACTAGTAGTAGTGTTTTGAACTAATGGGTTTAGGACTGTAGTCAACTGTTGTGACAACATATTAACCATCTCAAAATTATTTTCATCCATTTGTTGTCTAAGTATTCCTAATGAGTTACTGGAGATTCCAGTACTAGCATTTTCGATAGTCTCAAAATTGGATCAATGACAATCTCTATCGAATGTATATCTCCCCTGATCCAGATTTGCTCTGTGATCTAGGTTTGGAGGTGTCTGTTGTGTACCTAAATTCTGCACACTCCCTGAATTCTGGGGGGTTACTGAGTTTTGAGACGCCCCTAAATTTGGAGATACTCCAAAATTTTGCGGCATACCTAGAGTTTGAAATGTACCTAAGTTTTGAGGCATTCCTAGGTTAAATCTCGAATTTCGTTGTATTGAAGACGTACCAGCCCCATTCATATTATTAGGCGAAAAACCAGGCGGCCTCACGCTCATATACGGCCCAGCATATGTTGTTATGGGGTTTCCCATAGTTTGCATATTGTTTGGTATCACAGCACTAGACCCTACTTGAGTGTTTACTAATGTACCTGAACTTTGTTCATTACTCACAGTAATCGACATACCCGCGGTTGTCGATACTACAGGCATATTCCCATTATGCCCTTGCCCCCCAGTGTTTGGTGGATGTGACCCATTCAGACCGTTCACACCCTCACTGTTACTCTGGTTATTTGGTGGATTCTGACTCATTCCTATTACTCGCCCACTCCTTAATCTCATACACTTTCGAACTAACCAATTTTGTGTTTTTCGAAACAATACCCCTACCTGGCGCGCCAATTTGTTTCTGGTGGAATTTTGATCGATTTCGATTTTTAAAGGATTTTGTTCTAACCAAATTCCAACCACATAGATTCTTTTTACTTAGGCTAGCAAACGATTTTCAATCGAAATGTGTATGAGAATCGAAAATCATGATGTTTGAAAATACTAACAACGCAACCTAATGTGCAGATTAACAATCGAAAATGTTGTTTTTTTGGTATTTTGTATTTAAAGCACACGAAGTAAAGAAAGCAGTAAAATGTCAAATCGAAGAGTAGTACGAAATATAAGCTGCGAAGAAAGGTAAAATACGAAAACCTCAAATTTGCATTAAGTGTAAACGACAAAGAATCAAAATTGCGGGAATGTAAATAACAGGGAATCGAGATTGCAAGAAAAAAAGAATAACAGGGAATCGAAATTGTACAAAATAAATTGCATTGAGGTAAATGACGAGTAATCGAAAGTACAGAAACTTAAATTGCATTAAGGTAAATGACGAGTAATCGAAAGTACAGAAACTTAAATTGCATTAAGGTAAATGACAAGTAATTGAAAGTACAAAAACTTAAATATACATGAATATAAATTACCAGGGAAAGTAAAGAAAGCGATAAAGGCAGTCAATGAAAATGGAAATCCAGATCGCCAGAAACTTCATGATTGCGTCGTTCTCCAGTAGACTTCTCACTAATATTTCTGTTCTCTCTGCCAATTCCCCCCACTTACTTCATCCTTCACTCTATTTATAGGGAATCCTTTAAGCAAGTAACCTCTTAGGAGTAGTTAACGAAAACTGCTACCACGTCCTACGTGCATGTTGCAGTTTCTTCTTCGGTATCAAAACTGCACCTACGTTCCCATGATCTTCGACCTCTGCCACGGTTTAGAAACTGTTTCCTATGTGCGCGTTTAAGCTGTTCCCCTCTTTATGACCTAGCGGGATTTCGATATCCACGCAGGTTAGCCTTCCTCTTGATTTTGATCTCTTGATCTCGAGAACTTTGAATTGCTCTTGGTTTTCCTCAACCTTAACATTACAAAATTTTAATTTCTCGAAAACATTCTTCCTTCGATTTCTCGATTCTAATTCTCAATCATATTGTCACATGGTCGTCGAACGTATTTTCCAACTATCTTTCGATTTATCAGTCTTTAAAAATGGTTTTCGATTTTTTGCTCCCATTTGTTTCTCGATCCCTTTATCGATTTCTCACTAACAGATATTTTACAATTTTTCTTTTTATCCTATATATATATATATATATATATATATATATATATATAACTTAGTATTTATTTACATATATAAATTTAAATTTTATTTTAAGAAAATTATAATGGTACACTCTAAAATTAATTATATTGACTTTATTATTTAAAAAAAAAACTTCATATTATCTATTCAGTTTCATCCTCATTAACATTTATTTTAACTTTTTCTAGTGCTCCGTTTCAGTAAGTCAGCTTCTTCTTTAGAACAAGGTTCAGAAACCTAACATTTCTGTCGTTCATTATTCATATTCCTTTTTCCATAAAAACCAACCTCTGAAAGAAGTTTTAAAAAGTAACAAAATTATTTATTTTTTAATTTAATAATCACTGTTTTAAGTTGTAAATGTTAAAAAAAAAAAAACTGCTGAAAGTAAATGGCATAAGATTCACAATTTCTATCTTAACATAATCCAAATTTGATCATCCAATAAGAAATAAAATCACTTGCTGTAGCAAGTTACATCCTCAAAATGTTAAGTAAAATAAACAGCTACATTTATTAAAAAACTATCCAATTATGATAAAAATCCATAATAAATAAAGAACAAATCTTATTAATTGTTACTGCTCATTCAACTTACCTAAAGAACATATAAAAGAATCATTGTACTAGTTAACAATGTATCACAATCACAACAACGTTGCTGTTCTCACAATCACAATAATGTTGCTGTTCTCTGAAAATTCACTTGCCTCGTGCAAGTCTTTGGCAATAATTTTAGAACATACATGCATGATGACGACTCCAAGAGGATCCACACTCGTAGCAAAATCCATTCCCACATCTGAAAAGTCAACAAGTTCATTTAGATCGTAAACATTTTGAAATTATAACTCTACAGATAAATGTTCACCCTTTTCCCCCCCCAAAAAAAAAAACTGATTTAAAATAAGTGGACATAACAATCACCAACCTGCAAAGAATCTGCGGACATCCTTCGGTTTTTTCCACATAGAATTTGCATTTTGGACATCTTTTCCATCTATTGTTCTTAGCAAGTTGAAACACCAGCAGATCTTCCATCTCTCTCTCATTCTTCTTCAAGCCCTGAAACTTTCTGCAAGTCAACCCTGAATGCCATGGAACCTTGCATAGTGCACATAGTCTGTTGCAATGTGGACATACAGAAACAGTTATAAAAGTATCTCCATCATCAATCAACATAGCAGAACAATTTAAAGGACAGTAAAACTTCTGTGATGCAGGCACCGCATTCTCACAGAGAGCATTTTCCCATCTATCAAACACTTCTTTAGGGATAATTGAACGACAGTCCTGAGGCTCCAGAATCCCTTTGCATTTTGGTTCAGGACATTTCACCATTGATATATTTTCCTGAATCTTTCCAGCTGCATATCTTCCAACGCAATCATTACAAAAAAAGTGAGAACAGTTTTGGTTCCTGAACATTTCTTCTCGAGGTTGGCATCCATGCAAATACCACAGTAGAAACGTGAAGATTCACCGGTCATTTTCTGTTTCCCCTTGCGGGTTATCAAAGGGATGTCTTTCTTTTTTTCAACTCTAGCACATGACGATGTAATAGAGGAATAGAGGATTTCTTGTAGTTGTAGTAGCGCTTCAGCATATTTCTCATCCGAGATTGGAAATATCTCTGCATCATCATGTAGTGGGGAAAAGTAAAAATCGTCAACTAAATGATGATCTTCAGCAGTAGAGGAAAAAGTCATAGACGAAGATGCGGTTGAAGTTCCCTCCTTTCTCCCACATAAAACTTTTCCATGTGGAAAACTTAGTATTGCATGATATATGCATTTTACGAAGAGGCGTAGAAAGAGAAGTTGAGGAATTGCAAGCACAGAGAACGCAAAAGGTGAACTGATAATCATGATGAGTCTTAAATATTTGACCGTTCTGTTTTAGATGTTGCAAGAATTGAAACCTTGAGGACGCAAACACCAGCCTTGGAATTTACGCTAGTTTCAATGCTAATAAATGTCACACAATGGTGCCAATGCAGGAACACAAAGAGCACTGTTTCCAAAACTGTCAGAAACCCTACTTTCTACCAGACAACTTCCTTGGCCTGTGGTTGGGAACTACCACATTGATCCCTGCCAATGAGAATGCCAAAAATGAAGTTCAATGATGAAAGGAAAACATGGAAAAATTAAAAGAGCAAACAGCAAAGATGAAGATGAAAGGAATCAAATACCAAATAAATGAAAAAGATAAAACTACTAGGGTGGAAACCTGATTTAATCATGATATATAAGGTGAACACCTTGCTGGGCTAACAGAATTATTTTTATAAATATTTAGAAAATCAAAAAGTATAAAATATAGTTTTTGAATGATCTCTTTGATAGTACTCCATATCTACTTACTTGACGAATTTAAGGCACTTGAATGGGTAGCAGCTTAAAACATCTGGGTTGCAAGGTGCCTTACTAACGTTGCTTTTATAATCTATATAAAATTTGATTTTTTTGTTTAAACATTCTCAACTTTCATATTATTTTTATCTAAATATTCTCGAAAGATATCAAATCTTTCTCATTACATGCCTATTTTACAGATTTTAAATTTTCTTTTGACCTGAATAAGTCAAATGATTTAGTTAAATTTTCACAACGAAAATATTGCTTATTAGTAAACGTTTTCCTGTTTTTTCTCTTCTGGGCCTAAAACAAAAGTCAATTAATTATATATTTTGTTATTATTATCATTTATGTTTGAAATTAAAAATGTTTAGTTTAAATATTCATTTTATCCAAATTTTAGAAAATTCTTAATTATTTATATTTTATAATTTTTTATTCTAAAGCATTAAAAGTTGGTGTGTATAAAAATTGAATATTTATATACATTAAAATAAATGTGTTGATTTTTAATTAATTTTGTATGATAAAATATAATATTAAATTAAAAAATAATTATAATAATTAAATTTATTTTAAGTTGTATAAATTAAAAATATAAAAATAGGGATACTTATAAAAACTACCAATAAAGTAAAAATTTGGTATGAATTACTTGAAAGTAATATATCATGTCTCATATAAGAACTTCAATGTGTTGTTTACCAGAGGTAACATTGAAGATGTTCTTAATTATATTGTATTTAGCAATTTTAAAACTAATCAACCAAACTATTAAAGTTAATATTTTGAAAATATTCCTTATTTAAAAGGAGAAAATAAATTATCTTTAATGTAATTGCAAATGAAGTAAATTTTATTTAAAATAAACAATAAAGAGAACTATTGACATCAGGTTAAAGAGTAACCTGTCTTCATGATATTATGTTGTACTTTTCCTCGATTAACTATGATAATAACTTCCTATTATTTTTCTTCATTTTTACCATTTCAACATGACCTGGTTGTGACAGTAACATAACAAGTGCAAACAACATTGGCCTTTTATCTTAGAAACAACATTAAACAAGAACTGAAAGTAGTTAACATTCCTGTAAGTGTAAGTAATAAGCCCTAAATGGCCAAAACCCCTTGTTCCAACACTCTCCCATGATCGTGAAACGGGTTTCCACTGAAGCGCAGAATCAACTGCAACATGTTTGGTGGTGGTTGAAGCATAGCATAGGGCATTTGGTGGAGCTATAATAGATGACATTGGTGCAGTTGAACCTAACTTCTTCCCTAAGGTCGAAACTTCAAACGTTCTAAGGAGTTCTTCAACTGTTCAAGATCCTTCAAACCCTTATCCTCAAGCATAAGCTTTTCTTTTGTGTCTCTCTTTCAACTGCTTCTGCTTGTCTTTCAACTGATTCTGAACGGGCTCGTATTCCAGCCTTTGCTTTCCAAGAAACTCCTCCTGCCCATCTTACTTCCACGGCTGCGCTGGGCGGCCCTCCGCTGACGTAGCGGCGAAGGAAGGACGACGTCGGAAATGGGGTAGGCACACGAATAGAGCTTACCGTTTTGAGAGATGATCATCCAAACGGCTTGTACTTGGCAAGATTTGAGTTTGTTGAAAAACCCTAGTTTGTTTGCCTTTGGAAAAGGTAACCCATTTACCTCAGCATCATCTTCTTTGATTTCAGTCTTTCTTCTGGTGTTTACAGAATTTTAATATACATGAATCTCTCTCACTTATATATCTTACGTAATTTTCTATTTCTAACGAAAGTGATTCTAACTCACATTCATACTGTATATTACTACAATGATATTATCTTCTTCTATTCAATCTCTTTCTCGTTTTCCTTATATTTTCTGTCTCTTCAACTATATCTTTTAGATTGTTTCTATTCCATTAATAACATAATCTTTTTCTAATGTAATCCATATGTACTCCTAGGGTTTTTTTTTTCTGTTTATTTGTTGATTATTCTTAATTCTGTTAACATTTTTTTAACGTAATTAATGAGTGTATTACATGAAATAGTATGTAATAAGTGGTCCATGATTCTGTAAAAATATATTATCCTGCAACCATCAATTATATTCTTTAGTATATATTCTAATCATAACTTAATATTTTAATGTAAGAATTCAATATAGTTGTAAAAGATATGATCCTAAAACCTAAGCATTGTTAAATCATTCTTCATCATCGTATGATGCAAACATTCGCTGAGATCCCTGAATAACACTAGATTCTCATCACTAACTATTTAATATTATAGTTTTAAAACTGAATATATATATATATATATATATATATATATATATATATATGGAAAAATGGCTTTTATAAGTAATAATTTTGCTTTTTTAGTTTATTCTATACAAATACCACACTTATGTACATCATTTGTATTTAAATTAATTTAGCTGTTCCTTTTTTTTAAATAATAAAAAAATATTTAAAGATATATTTTTTACTTTTTGAAAGAAAATGATCTACTAATACTACATTGTTCGTTTGATGATTTTCACTTTTTTATTGCTTAATTTTTTTTTCATCAAACTCTTTGTATTTTTTATAGGCATGTATTTTAGTATGTATCTCTATTCATTTTCAATATAATAACTTTTTCTTATTATTTTTAAAATTAATTTAAAAAAAAATTAAGTGATGAACAAAACTTAGTAACACTTTTAAATTTGTGGGTTTAATTATATTTATTTATTGTCTTATTATAATAGACTTTTTATAGAACACACCATATAAACATATTTCCAGATCAGATAAACCTTCCAAAACATATTTATAAGCTAATAATAATGACATATTAATATTGAACAAACTAATATTTTTTATTTTATTTTGACAACATATTTAATTAAAATATTCCACATAACATTAATACAAAATGAGATCTAAGTTTCATGATCAACTTTTCCAAACTTAGATTATCATGTCACGAGAGACTTTTTCACTTCACTCTTAACTAAAACGAAACATAACATGAACTCTTAACTAAAGTTCAACATGGTTGCTCTTCATTCTCAACTCATAAGTGAGAAGTTTTCCACCACAAAACCCTTAGGATCAAGATAAAAGATCATTGGTACCTTCCCACGTAAGCTCACATCGGTCCTAAACAAAATATGCAATCATGTATGAACTCAAGCATAATTTACAACATGAAAAATGTATAATTTGTTTCTCAATTCATCAACCCTAACTTGGATTTACAGTGTTAGATTTCCATTTAGGTTTCTATGTTCATCATTCTTAACTCTAATTCCACATCCTACACTTTTTGATTGATCAAACTTAATTTGATTTCACTACACTCTCAATTCACAGAGCCAACTTAAATATTCAATTCTAAGCTATATTATTTAGACTAATTCCCAAAATTAAGAAAATCTTTATAATAATTTCATGTTTAGAATTTCAAGAAAATAATTTAGCTGTGCTTAAAATTTGAAAATAGAGAATAAAACATATAGGTAAACACCTCTTTAGGTTTTGGCTTAATGAAAAGAAAGAAGAACGTAAACAATTAAAAGTATCAGGAAAATCCATTAATGAAAAATTAGGTGTGATTAACATCTTTTTTTTTGTTTAGTTAACAAATTTCTTACCTGATAAACCCTTATATATATGAACTTAATCTCTTAAAACTGTTAACAAACGTTAGTTAGCACGTGAAATTAATACAAATATCCTTATTCAGACTTAGCAATCATATGGTTCTTGAAATTAAACAATCTAAACCTCAATATCTTAATGAGAGTTAATAATGGAATAACAATAAGCATGAATTCAATAACTTAACCTACCTAAAAAAGAAACTGGATTCAAATACTGGGCACTATTTATTTGCATTATTATATAAATAAATACTTATTACTGATATATTAGTTTTTATTAATAAAATAATCGAAACCATTGTTTGTCCTTCATTCTTTAAATTTTTACTTTCAAATCAATCATATCCCCAACTGAGCAACATTGTATGTTATTTTAACAATATTTTTTTTACATTTTTGAGTTTGTCTTATCCTTCCTTCTAGTGCTTCGTTAGAGAAAAATATCAAATTTGTTATATATAGAAGAAATGCATTTACTCTAAATATAAAAGTTAGAGAATTATTTTTAATCTTCACTATTTATTTTTAATTTAATGATTGAGATGATCAATTATGGTTTTAGACATTAAATTATAAAAAATAATTATAAGATAAAGAATAAAACTTTAATTTTTATGTTTAAAGTAAGTATATTTCTTCTCTTATTATAATATAATATATTATACTCAAAATTTTGATATTTATTTAGTTATATTTTTTATAATTATTATAGACCAGGAAAAGTGAATAATTATAAAATGTAGTAATCTTCTTTTAATTGAAATAGATAACATAGTATAGAAATATACTTTTAAGGTTATGAGTTTACACTTAGCACAAATAAACACCTATCACAAAAGAATTTGTTTAATTTTGTTATTTTTAAATTTTTAAAAAATTGTTTTAATAAAATATTTATGAAACAAGCTTTTTTAGTTTTTAAGATTTTTAAAAATATTTTTTAAATTATTAAAAGTGATAATAAAAAAATCCTTAAAATCTCAATAATCTCTCAATCAGATAATTATAAAATTAAGTATAATAAAATTAAAAACTTATCATTATAAATGCACCATCCCTATTCAATATTTAGTCTATAAAAGAATATTCATTGTCAATTTTCATTGGAACTCATTCTCTTCTCTTTCACCTCCACGGAACACCTTCTTGCTACTAAATTTTGGTGTTCTCTTTTGTATCATGAAACCACCTAGGTTAAGGGAATTAGGATTTTCTATATTTTTATATTTCTTCATTTTTCTCTTACATTTTTATCTTCTTTGTTGAATATTGATTTTTCTATACTTATGGACTGTTTCAAAACTAATAGTGATGATTCTTATAGTCATTAATTTCTTTTAAAAAATGCACCAAATTAAATAAGGCCCTTATTGTAAATTTGAAGGTAATTACTATTATAATTAATACACTTATATACATGATATTTTTTTCATTAATAAAAATATAAAATAGTATATGTATTAAAGATTTTATTTAAATATAAGAAAATAACTTATGGCTTTATTTTTTAAATTTATTTCAAAAGTAAATTGTAGAAAATATAAGGTAATAGATTTCTTAATTTATTTTAATAAAGTTCAGAAATTTACTAACAAATACTCTAATTGAGAAAAAAAAATACCAACAAATTTTTGTTGTTTTTCACTCTTTATTTTAAAATAAGTTAAGTAATAGAAAACTCACCTATGGTGTCGTGCTCTCCTTCTACTTCCTGTCCTTCTTCTTTCATAGCTTTCTCTCCTCTCCTCTCAAACTGAACCTATCAAACACTCTTATTTCAAAATAGAAATATATGAATAAAATTTATAATAATTATAAACATTTTATTGAACTGAAAAAATTCCCCACTAATGCATTTTCTGATATATATGTATGTTTAGTTTAAAGTTGGATGTGAGAAATCTAACTTGAATGAAAAAATCTATGATAACAAAATATCTTGATGACCTTAGTGTTTAAAGTTGGGTCCATTATTCCTCAAAAGATTCTTTATCAGACAAGAGTACATAGTATAAGATACTTATTATGGAAAATTGAAGGACAATAAACAGTATCTAAAATTCTCCATCTCACCTTATCCTTATCTATTATTTTGCTTAAGGCCAAGGCTAGAGTAGTCATCATCATCGATCAAATTTATTATTAATTTACTTTCAAAGATAGAAAAAAAACTATGTAAGAACATTAAACATGTAACATCATTATGTCAAACTTCTCATAAACAAAACTGAACTGTTGAACACGTTTCATACACGAAAAGTAAAAGGATTCACAAAATTCATTCCAGCGGTCTTGATCATACAAGATGTTTGGTTGGTCTAGACTTGAGCCTCTGCATTCTAAGGTCCTGAAGGATATGGCGAGTCTCTTTACGTGCCTCACTGTAACATTGCTTATAAGATTGTTTATAAGATGATACCATTTGCTTGCTTGAGCTTTCTTTCTCTTTCATCTCATCCATGGCTATTTGTCTATCGCGACATTCAATACTGCAGAAACCTTGATCTCCCCTAATCAAATATCATATTCAACTTCTATCAGAAATCAAAGACATCCACATAATACAGATTTATTCTTCTGAGTGTAAATTAATTCAACAAAAAGATATAACCTAATATCATGATTGCAATGCTAAAATAGAACTAATTAGGAAAAAAAGTTACCCTCAGATGCTATATATATATTCATTCTCTTAAATAGAAAACAAATGATTGTAGATATAAGTATCACAGGATGATGATGTTAATATTTCCTTAATAGAATCAAAAGTCTGATTGTATATATACCTGTACATGTAGATATCTTTGTCTGGCCTGAACTTCTTGTGGCATAGATTGCAATTTTTGAGGTAGCAGAAGTCTTGAGGGATGGGTTGATTTGGCCTTCTCATTGCAGATTTCAGGAGCACATTTGATGTGCTCTTTGAGCTGGTAATTTGGGGAAGAAGTCTCAGACCAACATCCATGTTGGTGCTCTCAAATGATCTCGCATGCTTTCTTTGATTCACATTCTTCTCTTGGGGTTCCACCTTGAAGGGACTGATTATGAACTTTGGAAACATGGTAAGTGGGGGAACACAGAAAGGAAATGAAATAGAGGAGAAAGAAATTGGAACAGAATGAATGTGAAAGGAAGGAATGGTTGATATTTAAAGAACCATGTCCCACAAAAAGGTCATCACAGCATAACTCATGTTTTACTGTGTAAGTGTTCTGCACTTATACAACACGTGTTACATTAGATTACATTACAATACTAATATTTTTTTTGCATCGTTTCACAGCATGTTTTTTCACAGGTCAAAAATCTAAAAAGTGAAGAGCAAGAAAAAAATAATAATAGAGTAGGTGGTGAAATTATGGCTTGTGTCTATTTCTGGTGTTTGAATTATTGCTTTTATTTGGCCCACTGAGACACGGTGGAGTGACGCGGACAGAGAGATTTGTTTTTATAATAATAGTTTGCGATATATACACATGAAACTTGTGGTACCGAAGAAGACATGACATAAAGTATGGTTAAAATTATGCAAAGATTCCACACATGGCACTTGCTTCGCCGGACACTCAACTTTGGAATCGCAGCATGGTTGCAGAGATTTCTTATTCTTTAACCACAACATTCCAATGGAAAAGTTACAATCGCAAGAGGCACTTACTAAGTATCGATGAATAAGAATGGACGTGGCGTACATATAGATGCACCGTTCAAAGGTCGTGTCATTGATCTGCATGGCTGCATACAACATTGTTTTATCTGTCGAAGAATATTAAAAAAATTGTCATTGGAGATCAAGGAATAAAATTATTGTTTCATTTCTTACAACAAACAACAAAAACGTTAGACTCTTTTACACCATTGAAAATCATTAAGATTTTCATTTCTTATATATTTGCACAACTTTGTACAAGGATTTCACTATACTATAACAAAATCTTGAAAAAAAATTTAAGGGTTTTGTAGATGCATAAGCTAATTGAGTTTGAGAGGAGATATAGATGAGAGTTGAATTAAATTAACCTTAGTTTTCTTTATTATTGTATGACAGTTGGTTTTGTCATCAAAAGTTAGACTATAAACTAAGTGAATACTATAGAAATTTGAGTTTGTACTTAAAAGTCTTATAATAAGTAATTCGTCTATTACATTTCATTTCGCATGTCAAACTAGTTAGGACTCTTTATTCAACTTCAAGTGTTATAACTTGTTTTTTTTATCTTCAAGAGATGAGAACTTTTGAAGAAAGATCTAAAAAATCAGTTATAAATTGATGTTGAGAAAAAAATTGCCTTGAGATAAAGATATTTTCATACTTAAACACACAAAATTGCAGTTTTTAAACGAATTAATGTCTATTAACTAAGATAAATTAAGAATGTCTTTGAACAATATAGGATATGTCAAGCCTTGTTTGATAAAGTAATCTTCCAACTGGTCCTTTTATATCATGTTATATTAGTTTGAAACTTTTCTTCATTAGATCTAAAGTTTTATTGAATGATAAAAGGGGTTTGGTAGGTTTAGTAGTCATTTTGTTACTATCTTTAATAAGTTGCAGTGTGTACTTCCTTCTGTTAGATGAATACCTTTTTTAGATTTTGTCACCTCTAAACAACTATATCAAAGAGTTGAGTTTAAACCAAGGTATTGCTTCACCCTTTTGATTCTTTCCATGTCCTTTTCCATAGACACTTTATCATTAACATGAACTTGTTATGAAAGAATGACGCAGACTTTTAACAAATAAGGGTTGATCTATATGAAATTGCTGATATTTAAGGAATCTGAGAGTTTAGGTCAGTATATTACATTTCATTCTGTCTTACCTATTTTAATTCACATAGAAAAATTTGTGTAATTTATCCACTTTATGTAAAAAAGTCTTACCATCATCTAGTTATTCAAGGTGTAAATCTGCAATAAAGAGAGAAAAAAAAATCTGAATAATTTTGGTCTTGTGTACTACTACTTAAAGGAAAATATTAGGTTTTGTAATAATAAATAACAAATTTAGTGATCACTATCTCTTTCAAGTAACTATTAGATGATTGATGAAAAAAACTCTCTTAAGTAAAACTATGAAGATCTGAACAATTTTTAAAGGAAACAAATAGTATAGGCAGCAGAAACTGATTAATCGTGTGTTGTTGTTATCAACAAATTCCAAAGCAGTCTGTCAAATAAAGAGATTGATTTCTTATCTCAAAGAATGAGGTGTTGTTTGTACTATTTGTGTTCATATGAGGTTTTAGGTTTTGTTGGTACTCTTTCTTCAACATCTAATTTTTGTTGGACCTGTTAAAATGTTCATGCAATTACACCTAATCTTGTGTCTCAGTCATAATATCCTCTTCTTTATTGGTTTTTGGTGTGTATTTCAATCCAGTTAGTATGAACTCTTTCTAGAACCAATTTGCTCTTTTCTTGCATATCTTCATGATGAAAAGAAAAGACATTTAAAAAATTACATCTTTATATAATTATTTATATTCTTTTAAGTGAAATGATTTTTAATATTAAAGAACCAATATAATCATGAACTTTAAATCACAGAATTTAAGAGAGTTTTAACCAAATTTAGACATTTCCTTCTTTAGTTTTTTATTTTTTTTATTTTTTAGGTTTGTGACTAATAAAAGGTTTGATACAAATAGTTTGAACTTGTTTGATTTTTGTTTTTTTTTATTAAAAAAACAGTTTTAAAATAAAATTTGAAAATTTGCTTTTACAAATAAGTTAAAAGATATACTTATTTGATAATCTTAATTTAGATTATTTTAGATAAAGAATGAAAGATCATAACAAAGTTGAAAACAATTTTGATAACTTGAAATAATACAATTATTTATAAAAACATGAATATAGTTAATAAAAAAAAGTACCTTTTATAAAAGCATGACTAATCTTAGTTCTTATAGTTTATAAAAAAATCATAATGTTAACTGTAAACTTTTTCTTTTAATTTTAACATTCATGATTTTGATCTTAAATTTGTCAACGCAATTTTATATCTTAATTATTAATCATCCATAATTTTAAAAATTTGTTTACACATTTACACTACTACGAGTAGAAGTGACAATACACGTAATGAAGTAATATATTGGCTAAATGAAAATGGGAAAAATAAATAGAGGGATTGAGTAAGTTTTTTTTTCCTCTAAAATTGAATATTAACATTAAAAAAATCAATTTTAATATTCAATAATACAATAATTATTTTTTAACTAAACTGTGTATATAAATATATATGTAAACATTTTATTATAATATTTATGTATAAATACCATTAATTTAATTTAAAAGTGACAAAGTCACTTTTACAACTATATTATATTTACTAAATATTAGATATAGAAATATTAAAATAAATGAGAAGTATAAAACAAACTTATTTGACCATAAATAAAATAATGTCAGACTAGTGAACCGACCAAAAGACAGGGAGAATGAATTTTTTATTATCACGTGTAGAGAAAATAAACAATCACAACGTGTGTAATTTTATTGTAAAAAATTTAACTTTATACATCTTAAATACTAATTCAAGTTACTATAATAAAAAAATGTTGTCGGAGAATTGATGGAAACGTGCTTTTGTCTTTTTCATGTTTCTTTATAAAGTTAAGTTGAACTATTTTAATATAAATAATCTTTAATCAGTAAATTAGTTAAATATAACTATAAGTTTGTATTAAACTATTTCATAAATTCTACAATTAAACTTTTAATTTCCCAGATTTTATTTATTGAATTTTAAAATTATCGTTAATGTGATATTGTAATGAAAAATAATGTTTTTGTTTTTGACACGTATGACATATTTTATGATGATTTTTAATAACTAAACCCTACAAAATATTAATCTTCGCAAATTATTTAAAGGAACAATTTAACATTCAATACAATAATTATTCATAATTTTTTAAAATAAAAATAATGAAGACATTGTAAAACTAAAGTAGTAATTAATCTTTTATACTTAATATTAAAATAGGGAATTATATTTGACTGAATGAAATATATTACAAAATTTTCTAAAATTTCAACAACATAATACCTAGAATATCGACATCATAAAAATTAAACGTCTTAAAATATGGACATCATAATACTGACTCAATTCTAATTCATTCAATAATAGAATATCAATATATATTGAATATCATCACAACACAAAGACTAAATCTATACATTCTAAAGGATACCACAGTAATAATATAAAAAACTATTTAATAAAAATAAATAAAATAACTCAGTAGAATAATATATTTTTAATGAGTCTTCAAAAATAGTTTCATAATTTGCACTTATATATATTAGTTATAATTATTTTTCGCACAATAGTTATTTATTTCTTTTCAAAATAACTATAATCTTTACCATTTCAAATTTTAGTATTTAAGATTGTTAAATTAAAATAATGTAAGTATATTTTAACACTAAAAATGTTTATTTTTAACTGCTTGAAATAGTATCCGATACACAGACTATGTCACCAAAACTATTTCAATAAAATCTAAAAGAAAGTCATAATATTATTTATTTATTTATATTATATGTATTATTTAATATTTATTATATATATATATATATATATTTTTTTTATTTTGCTAAATTATATATTATCTATGTGTAATTTATTTTATCGTTATTCAAGTAAATATTTAATGATAAAATATGTTATTAAACTTATTTTTATATGTAAAAAAATATAATAATTATTTTATAAATTTAATGTGAATTTATTTAATTTTTTTAGTCTAATTTAATCTAATTTTGTAATTTTTGTATTTTAATTTTATTTTTAATAGTCATTTTCTTATTTATGTAATATAAAGATTATTTTCGTATTTGTTATATAATTAAGTAAAAATATGCAAAAAAATAATTATACAAATAATAATTTTATAAATATTATAGCTTTTAAATAGAAAATTTGAAAAATTATTTAAAAGAAAAGAT